CGTTGAAAATGAAATGGAACTTGTCTCGAGACAGAGCAATTCCACGAACTCTTCCATAAACTCTCCAAGCCGTCGACATGTACTCTATCATTCTCGCCATCGACTGACAGTCAGGATTTAGTAACCTCCCTAACACACTTGTTTCATTTTCAACAAAATTTCTGTATCTCGGACAGTCCGGCAAGGTCAAAGGCTCTTCCTCTTCCAACGACATCGCTTGAATAGCTTGCTGAAGTAAATCAGCCATATCTTCACTCGTAAAAACTTCCAGCGCTGGTGGAGAGTTGGAGTTGCGATATATTAGGTAATAGGTCAAGCGTAATTGATGCGAACTTGCCTCTAATACCACACAATTCTGTCATTACTTTTTGTGATATCATGTTAGAAGGAAAGTCTTGGAGAATTGGGAAACATGAACGGGAAAAATTTCCAAAATTTTGCAAAGTTTTGATCGAAAAATAGAAATATGACAGAGAGAATTGGTACTTTCCAAAAGGAGAAAACCGTAACAAATGCCGGTTATTGGGGGTCCACTCGATACGAGGGATAGAAAAGATTAAAAAAGGATATAGCACCCCCACAAGGAATACACCGGAAATCGCCTGAGAGAGACCTATAACGCGTGTATTCTATTGGGGAAATCAAGTATATGGATAACGTAATGGGAAGCAATGACTTTCCAAAAAAATTGAAGCAAAAGCAAGCATATAGGTTCACCTCAACATCATCTAAACATAGCTTTCGTGCCATATCTCCCCATTTTTTATCTGCATAAAAAATCAATGTTCAAAGACAAACTTGAAACAGAAACAGATTACAATGGACAATCATATAGCTGGTAGAGAGATGAGCAAGGAAAGGACGATTTTAAATAGAAATGAAAACACAGATGTTGCTAATATCCATATGACTATGAGTTAGTAACATTTGGACATTGCCAAAAGCAAACAAAGATATCTTTATAGATATATCACATATATATCAAAGTGCATTCAGACACATGGAAAAGAACAAAACAGCCTTCTTCTAACCTATTGATTTCTTAGTCAGTATGTTCATAAATGTCACTACAGAAACCATTTTCAAGCAGGAATATCTGAAAGACCGACCAAAACCATCGTTTTGGACACATAGCTTATGTGACTACAACATTTAATGGTAAACTTTAATCGCATATCCGATCATAGACATCAAATGTTGCTCAGGCAAGACAGTAGAGAGCCATGAAACTCAAGTACAAGAAAGCACAACATTGTGTTGTTTATTGCTCACTGAATCAGTTCTATGTGTTAAATCAAAAGCTAAATGCAGTGCACTGTCTAGGGATGCCTTAGCCTAAGCATCATTCTGGAGAAACTCTCAAATCAACAAAGATGCCATCTTTAACTTTAAAGCTAAGATTTATTTCTTTCTTGACGGAGGCAGACCATGAAAGCGTAAGCCAAAGAACACAACGAAAAAATGGTCCCCACAGATCCCAATCCCTAAGCGCATTCTCAGGATCCTTCATATTCGGATTCTGAAACACCACCAGCTCCAAATTACTGATGAATACATTTATAAAAATTTTTTTAAGAAGTATGAATCTTTTTATTTTGAGATAAAAAAATATATTAAAAATCATAGTATCCATGAATTAAAAAAAAGATGTATAAGACTGAAAATAATCCATAATTTATATTCTTAGATATTTTATTTTATCAACATTGACAAATGTTAGAAATTACTTATATAATAAAATAACAAAATATAAATACTGAAATTTAATGTTATTAATAAAATAACAAAATATAAATAGTGATATTAATGAAGAAGAATCAGATACTCATTAAATTTGAATATATATATATATATATATATATATATATATATATATATATATATATATATATATATATATATATATATATATATATATATAAAATCATGTGTTCTTTCCTGTGAAAGCATCCACGTCAGATTTCAACTCAGAAAGTCATGTCCTGAAAGCGTGACACGTGTCCAAGACATATAAAGCGCATCATTTCATTTAAACTTTACTTTGATGGGCTTCAATCTGTTCATGTATATCACGTATTTGGGCTCTACAATCAGGTGTATTCGCAGCCCGAGTTTGTAGAATCATGCACAACCCCCGAAAATCGAGGAGATCGTCTATCCGCTTTGTTCGACGGCGGTGACGCCTGAGATTCTTAGAGCATCTTTATCGGTGGTTGGGGGCGTTTCTTATACGTGGGCCCCACCACCTTTTTGTAAAAATCGTGTGCTATTGTCGCCAAACAAGAAACATTTTTCACTGGTTTTCAGAACTGTTTGCGGGCCCCACGACACATGGCGGCCTACTATTGGTTCATTTTATTATTTTTTAAAGAATTATTTTTTAAGAAACCAAAAAACGTTTGCAGCGATAAAGATGATCTTAGCTCTTGAATGCGTTTTTAAGATCATAAAGGCTGTGTCTATTTGGTATAAATATATGTGAGTATTCATCTTCTTGGACCATCCTCTCTGAAAAAGGCTCTCTCTCTTTCCCTCGAAGGTTCCTCTTGAATCGCTTCATTTGGGCGGCAGCAGTTTCGTCAAATAACGATGGTAACTCCTGAGAACGACGAGGTTTCCCGTTGTTTCTTGAGCTTCCACCTACACAAGAAGAGGATCCTCTCCATTTAACTGATTTCTTGTCGTCATAATTTCAAGCTGGGTAAGGAATCGGTGGAGAGATTCACTTCGCTATTAGATACAACCGCTTCCTGATCTTTGCATTGATAGTATCGCAAAGAACCTCACCGGATTGTGCGCACATTAAGATCTGTTTCAAAGTTAGAAATGAAAAAACAAACAAAGAAACAACCAGAACAAAAAGACAAGAAGAGTTACTTACCTATTGAAAGTCTATGGCTTTGGGTAATGAATCCTAGTAGTGATACGAGTTGGAACAAGTTGTGAGGTTTCGAAACGGAGCAAATGTAGAGACCACGGAGCATCGCAAACACCAAAAACATCATCCTTAAGAACCGAGGTGATCTCTGTGGTTGTTTTATTATAATCGCTGCACTGTCATGTTTACATCAAACATTGAAACCTGAGAATATGAGTAAAGACTTAGTGTTTTAAAAACCATAACTTTAAATCTTATGAAGAATAAAGAGAAGATTTTGAATGTTGACTCCAATGATAAAACTAACATGCAGAGCAACCAAGAAGCTTAAATCGCAAAACATTTGATGAGAATGGTAGAAAGAAAGACCCTTTTCCGTATAAATCATTGAACTCCGCCATTAATGGTTCTGGAACCTTAAGAAACAGAGTGAAATTTGAATGCCTTTGGTCAAAAAGATATTTTGAAACAGAGTAACTAATGGAAAAGAAAAAGAAGAAGAAAAGTAGCTTAGAGCATCTCTAATAAGCCCCTTCATTTTTATGGGGTCCACCCTTAAAATAAGGGGATGAAGGGGTGGTTTTCCAACGGTGGTCCTCAAAATTTTTTTTCTTAAGAGTTTCTATTTTACACTTTAATCCTCAATTTAATTAACATTTAATTATTGTCATAACTTTAATAAATAAACAATAAACACATATTAATATATGATACTGACATAGTTAGTAAATAAATTTAATTATAACATCGACGATGAAACTCTCTTTCACCATACACATGATTATTAGAAAAATAATCATTGTATAAATTACGATGAGCATTTTCTCTATCACAAAGAATAACTGCATGACCGATGATAGAGCCACGATGAATATTGAAATTCTATAGAAAATTCACTTTTTTAGAAGTTTTGTTGATATGTTCGTAGATTCAAATGGATGTATATATATAGAAATATATATTACTATGTCTCATCAGCCCATTAATTTGAAATTTTGTCATTTTCTTATCTAACTTTCAACCTCCAACCATATGCAAGCCCCAACCATATTAAATTATTCCACACCATTCAATAGGCCATTCAATAGATATTTTGTCTCATCAACCATTAAATGAAATTTTGTAATTTTCCTATCCAACCTCTAACCATATTTAGTAGATAAGATAACCTCCAACCATATTTATTAAATAAGATAACCTCCAACCATATTTATTTTATGTATAAATAATAGATCTCACAAAATGAAAAAATCACATTTTACTAAATCACACTTTATCCATCCCACTCATTCGTTTCTTTCTTTTGTTTTCAAAAATGAAAAAAAAAATAGAGGCACATCATTCAACCAACAAGAAGATGAGTTATTATGTCATGTCTACTTAGAAATTTCACAAGATCCCATTACTAGCAACAATCAAACTCTGAAGAAACTATGGGAAAAAATAGAAAAAAAATACAATGAGAAAAAAATAGAGAGTTGGAAAATTAGAAGTCAGAAGTGTTTAGAAGGTAGGATAGGTACCATTTTGTATGCTATTAGAAACTTGAAGAGCTGTGTGATCCAAGTTTAAAATATGCATCCAAGTGGTGCATCCGATCAAGACATTGTAAGTATAAATTCTATTAGTATTTGTTATATATTTTATTACTATTTGTTATATAATCATGTTCTTTAATTCCAAAATTATTTGAGATGGAAAAGACAAAAATTATTGATGCAAGACCCAAAATTAAAAAAAATTAGTTTTAAATTTGATCATGTGTGGTTTTTAATGAAAGATATTTCAAAGTTTTCAGACAATAACAATATCGGTATCCCGGATATTGAGAGCGATACTGTCGGCTCTCCAGCATCACAATCTCCTGGAATTTCTTCATTTTCAATCAATTTAAGCAGTGATGATGGTGGTTCAAATTCGTTACAACGCCCTATTGGATCAAAGAAAGCAAAACTCAAAAGAAAATTTTCTTAAGGTAATACTTCATCTATGGATAATGTGGCTTCAGCAAATGAACAAATCCTAAATTTCTTGAAAGAACGTGCATCATCTAGAGAAAAAACTTATGAGATGGTTCAGTTACGCATGCAAAATCAAGCAAAAAAAATTAGCTCTAAAAGAAATGGAGGCTGAAAATAAAATCTTGTTGAAAAATTTAAACTCCATCGATGATATTAATACTCGCCAGTTTATCCAATCCGAACAAGCAAAAATCATACAAAAAAGAACGCAACAACAACAAACTGAAGAGAATGCTCCAAATTTATATCGAGAATATTTTGGTGATCGTGGAGGTTCAAGACCAAATTTACCAAAATATTAGTATTGTAATATATATTTTAATGTGTAATATTTCAGCTTTATTAGTATTGTAATGAATATTTTAATATGTAATATTTTAGTTTGTGTAACTTTTATTTTGATGTAAATATTATGATTATATTATAATTTTTTATTTGCATAAATTTTTCAAAATGTATTATGTGAAATAATATGTTTATATTATATTTTTATTAATATTATTATATTCTGGTATAAAATATTTATTAATATATTATTATTATTATTTAAATGTTAATATAACTATAATAGTAGAATGTTACATAAGAAATAATAAATACACATAGTGAACAGTGCACTCGTAAATTTGAGGGTGTACTGTTCACTCCTTAAAATTTGAGGGGATAAGAGTCTCTTGGAATGCAAAACTCTTCCAAAAATGAAAGGATAAAGGTCTGTTGGAGATGCTTTTAGATAGCGAGAGGAGATGGATTCATAGATCCTCCTCTACAGAGAATCTGGGAAGAAGGAAGGAAAGGTAAAAAACATTAGCATTTTGGGTCTGAGGAGAGATTTTTGTATAAAACTATAAAATTTCTTCTCCACGTGGAAAGTCGAGAATGAAATTAAAACATAGGGACTGTATTTTTCTCCGATAATTAATTGTTTTTTAATCAAGTATTAGTTTTGCTTTCTCCACTTATTGAATTTAAGGATCACAAAAAATTCTGGCTTGACATCAGTATTAGCCTTCGTCAAGATGATATTAATAAAAGTTTTGGAAATGACTTAGTAATCCGTAACCAAAAAAAAGGAAATGATTTAGTGATAAAAGTTCTGGAGAGTAGACGTCCTTCGCCAAATAGTAATGGATCCTCTGATGATTCATTTATTTTTTGTTTTTTTTTTTTGTTTTTTGGTTAAACACTTCATTAGATTAATCTAGGAAACATTGTTTCCTCTCTGAAACAGAGAGTTTGCAACAGAAACCGAGAACAGAGCCTCTTTGGCTAAGCGATCAGCGACCGCATTAGAGAGCCGAGGAACAAAACGAAACAAGATAGATGACATGGAGTTACTCAACACACAAATGTCATGGAGAATCCCTTGGAACGCAATCACAGAGGAGTTTCCCGTGATCAGATTTATCAATACTTTAGAGTCTGAGAAACAGACCAAGTCGGTGATGTCTTTTGAGATAGCTGCTTTGATCGCTTCTTTTAGAGCCATAGCTTCTGCAACGAACGCTGAAGCGACAAAAGGGGCCGGTTTTGATCCTTGCAGCATTGTAGCCCCCGTCGAGTCGGTGATATTCCATCCCAAACCGCCAGCATTTGTTGAGCTCATCCACACTGCATCAGAATAACAGAGAATAGCAGAAGGCAGTAAGAGATGCAGAGATTCCCTCGAGAGGGAGTCTTTAGGCGAAACAGGAGGAGGAGAAAGCTTTGTTGTCGTTGAATCTTGCCACTCCTTGGCGTGTTTCAAAGCTTTTCCTATAATCTCTGTTTCAGAGAAAGACTTGTTCTCAAACACCAATTGGTTTCTAGCAGTCAAAAGTACCCACAAGAGCCATGGATAAAGAGGCATTAGTAGGCCAGTGGGGGGGAAGTTGATCAATTTGGTACAATCCAGGAGGAGCTTCTCCACGGTGTTCACGGTCAAAAAGTTCGGAAGATTGATCCCTGGTACAGCCTCCCACACCCTCCTTGCAAAAGGACAGAGGAACGTGACGTGCAACGTCGACTCCACCTCGCCACATCGTTTGCATTTTCCATCAATTTTTACTCCCCTTCTTTGCAAATTTTCTCCAACCGGCATTATTTTTTGTTTTTCTTTAGGAAGTTCCGTTCAAGAAAAAGGAATATAATATATATACATATGAGATTCAGAAGAGAAGGTTCTTTTCCATCAAATGACCATTTATTTGATGTTTCAAGAAAGTAGCAATAGAGTATCTATGAATTTTTTTTGCACTTCTTTTGTTTCATGTCAACTATTTTTTTTTCCTTGGAAAGAAAAAAAATATCAAATCTAATTTTATTTGTATCCGGTAATGGAATGTGTATATTCCAAAATCGGTTGTGTATTTTATGCTTTTTGGGGTATGGTTTCTTCCATCCACTCCATAAGTAATCTGCTATCTTTTGTTATAAATTTCACAATATAAGTAATTATTAAACAAAAAAGAAAACCATCACCATCCATATATATGTTAAATCATTTATATATTAGTTTCATAACTTAATGATATTCATAATTTTGAAATAAATATAATTTTTTTTAGTTTAAACAGTTTAAGTGTACGTAAAAGAAATGTAAAAGATTATTTCTCATTATATATCATAAACACAAAGGAACATCAATACTATTAAATTTGGATCATGCCCTATTGATATTAGTTGGATCCAATTAATTATTTCCATGTTTTACTTTTTCAAGAATGAAATATATATATATATCCCATTTCCTTTAATGTAACTGCATATAATATTCTGGTTTTAAAATTTAAAAACCATAACTTCTTGTTTGCTGTAACAAACCTACGTAATTCCCTATTGCTCTACGTAGTGGGCAATTTATTAACCATATATTATTCTAAATCAATTTATTATATTAAAACTGCTTTTTGCTTTTCTACAGTTTTTATAGGAGTCTAATAATACTGGTATATATAATTTGTATTACGAGTTTTGAAGCTGATTTTTTTATCTTATAACTTTACTCAAATCCTCCATGTATGATTCAAATCCGTTTACATCTACTATGATTAAAAGGGCGATATAAGAGGATTTCAGCCTGTCCACGTCACCCAATTTAATCCACCAATAGGATTCTTCCGTTTGCCATGTCAAACTGGATGTCTGTCGGGTGGGCCTGGGTTTTGGGCCTGAAATAAGTTTGTCGGGTGAGCCTGGGTTTTGGGACTGAAATAAGTTTATTGCTTTATTTTTTGCAGCTTTCCATCTTCGACGCCTCCTCTCCTCCTCTGCATCTCTTCTTCGTGGACAAACCAAGAACGGTGATACCTCCTCTCCGTATATTTTTCACTGTGTCTCTACTCTTTTGCGACTCTCTCTCACTCTCCACGTCTGTTTTTCTTTTCCTTCAGATCTCTGCTCCATGTCTATCCGCCCTCGCGAGATCTCTAAGCATGTGTCTCCATCTCCACTATCGGCTCTGTCAATGGTATGGAATCCCCTCCTCTTTTTTAGATCTACAAAAAATTAACTGTCTCATTATCTTTCAGTGGAGATGGACAGGATGATGTTTGAATCATTACACTATTGAGTTAATAGAGGCTTTGTTTTTAGTTCTGTACATTTGAGCATCTTCTTGGCTTTGTTTATAACTTTTTACAGGCTGCACAGCTTCAGTTTAGAGGAGAGCGTATCTGGAGAGCCGCTATAGATGATTTAAAGGCCAAAGGAATGCGATACGCCGACCAGGTTTGTTGAGAGTGTAGATATGGAACTTCTTTTGCTCCCGGATCGGTTAATAAGCCAGAGGAAGAGTGGCGTGTTATTCCCTCTCCCGAGCAATTCAGGATCCTCAGGCAGAAAGGCACTGAGTAAGAGTAGATATATTGATGTCACAGTGGTTTGATTCATTATCTCTCATGAATATTGCGTTTAGTAAGCCTTTGTGGAATAAACATGTTTCGTGATTAACATTCATGAGTCCCATTTATTGAAATTCAATACAATTTTCAAAGTTCTCATCTTTTTTTTCTAAAACTCTTTTTTTGATGTCTCAGGTCAGGTTTCTATGTGAGAGATGTACTCATTTGTTATAGAAGCATACATTGAGTGCCTTTGTCTTTCTTGGTTCTCCAACATTACTGTAATAAGCTGAAGAACTTATACTAGAAATCTCAAAGTTTTTCACCTTTTTTTCCTTTTCACGTTATAACTCTGGTTCTGTACATTCTTATCATGTTGGAATCAGGTGGTGTGGCTTAGCAAGTCATGAACATGCTTCCCATCAACGCAGCTAAAGATATGTTGAAGTACTAGACTTGGCTATCTCTGGGGTGCTTTTACTTCTACTTTTCACTTCAAAAGTCAGTTCATCACAGTATCAGTACAAAGTAGAAGTCTGATCAGAAGAAAGAAAGTGATGATGAATAATCTCCTAATCATATATCTATATTCTAAAAATGAACTGGACTAGGGTTTGGTCAATGTTTTAAAATCGGATGCAAGAGGCACATCAGATATGAATCATGCAAGCAGGACAAGATTCAGGGGAAGCATTGCCAAGGCAGATCCATTATGATGATAGATTTAGACAGAAGTTCAGTGGTTTTGCTTAGTTACATAACATCAGATTTAATTGTATTAGTTATGTAACTTTCACAAGTAGTTCAATGTGTTACTCAGCGACCGAGTGAAAAGGACGCGAGTGTCAAGCTCAAGCAGTTGAAGTACCTGTTAGTTAAAGTTCTTCATGTTCTTAAGGATGTTTATGCTGAGCAGATCCGTGAACTCGAGATTGAAACAGCAATTAGAGGTAGGGGTCTTCACTTGTGCTCTCCTCTCATTACTTCTTAGGTATGTTCTAACCTGTTTTCTTCTTATAGGAGTCCCTGTGAGAGAATCTGATGTTAATAGGTCTGAACTTGGCATAGACGAACGCATATACTGGTAAGTTTTCAACTCTGCTTTTTTCCCCTTTAAAATGCTGAGTAACTAATGCATTTTAGTTTTTTTTGTTAGGCTGCTAATCGTTCATGGACATGGGGTGCGAGCAAGGTAATTCTCGCTAACTGTATGCTTATGTGTTTTGCATCATCCTGGTTATGCATGTAAAGTAGAAAACCTTTATATTCCTTAACTGGTGCCTTCAGGAGTTGAAAAACCAAAATCTTCTAACTGGTTATCTCAGAATTGGGCTTGAACAGCTTCAGCTAATGTTAAAAGTTAAGAACATTGCTTCTCTGCAGCTATATGGAGAGGAGCAAGCGAGTGCAATTGCAAGCAAGCAACTTGACCACAGCACGCAGTTCATCACA